GGCTGCAGCCAATATCCAGTGCTTCTTACGCATGTGGCAACTGGAAGCCAGGGGGGGTGTGAAGGGGGAAATCCTCCCAGCCTCATGAGACCACCAAAGCCCAGAAGCATGGGAAATAACTATAGCAGAGCATAGGCATAGCTATTTCTAGATCATTCCTGACCAATGCGTATCCAGCCTCTTTAACGCTTCCAATGATGGAGATTCCACGGCTTCGCCGGGGTGTCGAGTCTATTGCCCCACAGGTCTAACGGTGAAGACGGTTTTACTGATATCCAATCTAAACCTACTTTGCTGCAATGTCAAGCCATTGGTCCATGTTCAACCCTCTGCAGCAAGGGAGAAAGTGTTTTCACTCTTCTTTATGGCAGCCCTCATCCAGTTGCTTGCAAAGAAATTTCCTTCTAGTATGCTCCAGTAACTTCCTGGGTATTAAGGTAGGGCTAACTCATCTGTAGTTCCCCAGATTCTCTTTTATGCCTGTTTTAAAAAGAGGCACTATGTTGACCCTTTTCCAGTCCTCTGGTACCCAACCCATCTCCCATAACTCCTTAAATATTATTGACAAAGGGTGCAAGATCTCTTCTGCCAACTAGTCACTTTCACTTCTGTTTCTGATTAGTTTCCCTGTCTCACATGAAGTAGAATAGCATTGCTGACATTGGAATTCATGAGGCATTAGGAGAGTTTCAAATCAGATAAAATCTTTTAATTGAAAGAAGTGATAAATAGATTAAAAACATGCTTTTTAACCAACTTTTAAGTCCTGCCTGCACTAATAAAATGACTAGCAGAGAGAATCTGTTGCAACATGGGTGTATGCTGGCATTGTTAAACCTTGGTTTCATCATACCCGAACGTGGTTACACTTTCATAATGTTTGTAAAGGACTCTGCGGTCTTTAGATAAAAGATGCTAAATGATTACAGTGATTTATTGTTATTGTGTAAAACCTGAACTCTGCAAGTCATGTCTTTTTACGGATGTTTTTAAATGTAAGTTTGTTAGCTGTGCACAATTTTATATTCTTGTATATATTGTGTGTCTTAACAAATGATGCTACTAGAGTGATTGCACATCATGCAGTATGTCAGATCCTTCCACGTTCCCACAATGATCCATGCATACAGGAATAAGAATAGGCATATCTGAAAATGGAACTGTCACATAGAGAGACCAAAGAAAGAAAATGTGTGTTATTTCTTGATTTAAAGGTCACCTTGTGTCTTGGTAACATCGTAATCACAAGGTCCATTCCTACAAAATGCTCCTAGGCCCCTGATTACTGCTGAGGGTCCAGAGCTCAGTGGGAGTTAAAATAAGCTTGCTACTTCTTCAGAGATTCTCATGCCCTCACAGAATTGGGCCTATGATTTTGGAGTTGCTTAAAACAAGTGATTGCTAGTTTGAAGAGAGACTCTGCTTGAAAACCCAGAGGCTGCAATGTGCTATTTAATTCTTGCTCTTCTCTAGAAAGCATGGCAGGCTTAGAGAGAGAGAGACTTTGGAAAGAGTATCCAGGTGGCAATACACTACTGGTCCCAGCCTTGTCTTTATGTACTTTTAGCATTTTATGGTTTCCATTTCTGCTTTTGCAGGGTTGATAGTGGGGCCTTCTGAATAAACCATTGCGCCACAGCTCAGGAGGCCTGGGTTCTGTTCCCAGCCTCTGTTCCCACTAAATGAGTGACCCTGGGCAACTTGCTTAACGGCCCTGCACCTCAGTTGCCTTATATGTAAAATGAGAAAGTGCTATCTATGCATCTCTTTTGTAATGTTCTGCAAGCTCTACAAATGAAAGTTGTTTTATAAAAGCTTTTCATTTTATTATTATTCTACCTTCATTTTAATCTGCAATCAACTGCATGAATATTTCAACCTCTGCTTTCAATATATATACAAGTTTCCATTGATTTATGTTGTACATGTGTTCCCGGAGAATGGCCCATGAATCGAATTTGCATAAAGCGAACCCACTTTACAATAGTAGGGATAGGTTCCCATCGCGGGGAGG